CGTGTGGCTCTGAATCAGAAAGGTGTTGAGTCTGGGTCTGAGAAACATGGAAGCCGAAGTAGCGCCAGGATACAGGGGAAATTATAGAGCCGAAGGGCCCTTCACAGACTCCCAGGCCGCCTCATTCATGCCGCAGGTAACTGAACTGAGACTCAGGAAAGCAGGGGCTTGTCCCAAAACGAAGCCTGGAGTTTGCTTTCTGCTACAGCAGAGGTTCTTACTGAAAAGAAAGCAGGGCTGGAAAGGAAACTTCTAGCCCAGTATCGCAGAGTCTGCGTGGCCTGAGCCTCCCTCACAAATCGACCGGTCACATCACGTCTCGAGGTCTTGCTGCCCAAACCAGGAAACTGACCCCGGTCTCAGGAGGCAGCTGGTGGCGGAGGAGGCAGCCAGGATGTCAGAACCGACACTCACCCAAGCAATCAGCTCGCGCTGGCCAGAGATGGGCACACACATCTCAAAATAATACACAGAATCTCTACTCTAAGGTGGTCTACGGTCCACTTTGGACTAAATTATCTGGAAATCTTGGGTGTTGTCACTAGTTTGTTTGAGCCCTTAGCAGACATTAATGAGCACCGTCTGGAATATTAGGGGAGGAAACCGCAGGGGCAAGTGGCTTATCCCTCCAACCACACAAATGGAGACGGGCCCCGGCGGTGAAGGGCTGCATCCTCGTGGCAGACGCAGCCTTCCAGCCCCGTCCGTCAAGTCCCAGGCGCTGCTCCTCCTGACTGCTCACCGGAACGTAGACGATGCTCTCTTGCGAGTGAAGACCCGCAAGGCATCGTGAAACATATTTCCAGTCTCAGCCCAGGTACTACCCTTGGCCTAACTGTCAGTCTGAAAATTGTGCCTCCTGAGGTCAGAATTCATGTGCTCTGATAGAGGGAGAATCCCAACTCTTTGGTGAATAAATAAGTGGTGACACTCCACTCCTAGGCCGAGGACAGTTTCTTCAAGAAGATTGGAATGGAAAGCCCTAATTATTCACCAGTGACTGATACCCTGATCACCCCAGTGTTTGGGGAAAACCACAGACTTCTCACTCTCCTTTCATCCAAGTAACAGCATTTTAACAAACTATGAGTCCTTACCCAGATGCTCAGCGTAATATATTTAACATTAGGTACGATGTCCATCCAGAGCCAGTAGATAAACTTGAATTTGATGCCGAACCTAATTTCAAGATATTATTCAAATACTTCAAACCCTGGGCTTCTGCTAGGGCAGTTGCTCAGGTCTTTATTCCTGATTTCTCTGCACTCAGTCTCTTCCATTCAAAATGCTTAGCTGTCAAGTGCTACTGTTTTAGGAAAATTGATTTTACTGTTACTGCCTGAGGGACAAGGGGAATCTCAGATCAGGGCGTCTGCATACTGCTGGGATGCTTGATAGATGTCCCCTTGTTAGTTTCAGATCGCGTCCTAGAGATGAAACGCACAAGTAAGAAAAGTCGTGCTCCGTGAGCACCCTTCATGGACTATCCATTTGCAAAGATTGATAATGCCATAAAATACTCTTAACTTTGAAAGTGTGAGTAATAAAATGTAATCTTTCTCTGATAGTTCTGAATGCACTTTAAAATTAGGCAGTGCCTTGGAGTCATTGCAAGGAATACTACTTTTTATAGATCATGGACCCATATAACTTTGGAAGTGAAAGGGTCTTAGTGTCACTCAGTTGAGGGTTGATAACTAGGTTTTGTGTAGTTGCCAAGTACAACCGATTGGCACGGCTCTGGTGTGCCACGCTGAGGAGTCTTTGGTTACTCGGGCTCGTTCGATGAGTGTAATGTGATCGATTAGCAATGTCTGCCTTGGGCGGGAGGAAGGAGTAATTACTGGCAGGGTGCATGTCTGCTATCCTTAACAATTTCAGCCTCTTCATTTTAAAGATGAACAGCCTAAGATCAAGCAAGTTCAGAGGATTGTCCACAATCTACCTGCTGGTCTGTGGTTGAGCAGAACTGGCCACTATTGTTTCTATCATAGCATGCTACTCTGTAATATGAACTCACAACTTCTAGAAAGTAAGAAATCATATAGCAGTTTCTTGGGCATCTGAAAACTTCGGCAGGAAAAAAAGACAAAGCAGAAAATGTATTTGGGTGGTGATGTACATTACATGGGAAATTGGTGACAATTCATTGAATAGTTCAAAAGAATTTGAAGTTAATTTTTCAATAAGGCACCATGTAGTTTAAACTATAAAGAGTCTTTCAAAATTCATTTCTATATACTCAATAAATATGTTTAGATGTCTTCTCTATGCAAGCAACTGTATTAGAGATAAAAATAGTAATCAGATACTCTAGGCAAAAGTCTCCCAGCATCCATTCAACAGATGTTTCCTGAGCCCTTGCTTAAGTCAGACAAATGTACTCAGTCCTGGAGATTCACAACCAAGTAAAACTCTGCCTTAAAGAGTTGTTCTCGTAGTAGGCAGTGTCTGGCGCCATGACTAATGGTTAAAGCAACTTTATTTTGTCTTCTAGATCTTCAGGGGATTCAGGAGAAGTCCAAGATAGAAACAGTGCTCTAAAGAAAGATAAAGTGTAACACGGGAGAAGCTGGTAATTTTTCAAAACAAATACCCAGTGAAGATGAGAAAGTTCTGGCTTTAAATAATTTAAATCTTTTTACTGACGTATAGCGAACATCATAAATCAAAATGCACAGCTCATTGGATTAACATGCAATGAACAGAGTGTTCTTGAAACCATCACCCAGGTCAAGAAATAGAACGTTGTCCACACAGAAACCCCTCTGCCCTTCTTCCAGTCAGCACCCCTCACATCAGCCCCAAGGATGACAATCTCCTGATGTCCAGCACCGGGCTGGCTTTTCGGTTTTTGAATTTTATATTGATGGGGTCACAGTGCATTCATCGCTTTACATCTGGCTTCTTTCGCTCCACAGTAGTTTTGCTGGAATTATTCATGCTCTGTGTAGCAATAGTGCATCATTTCTGTTACTGTGTAGTATCACCCTAGATAAATACACTTTAG